CCAGCAGCATAACTATACCTCCCCTCATCCCTGTTGCTCTCACCTCCAGACTGTGAGGAGTGTCAGAACTTCTTCATTGACAGCTGTGGTGCCCACAGGCCCCCAACCTTTGTAAAGGACTCTGCAGTGGAGAAAGTGCACGCCAAATGCTCACTTTACCCCTTGGGTTAAGTATCAGACCATCAGGCACCCCTGCGGCTGGGCTTGGAGCATGGAGCAGAGCATCTGATCTGTCTTTGGGCCTGCACTTAAACCCCTAAGAGGGCCAGATCACAGACGATGAAGAGGCCGCCAACAGTGGATGCTCCTGGCTGGTGAGAAATAACCCTGTCCTCTGGCCTCTAATCGCTTGTGTGTGGTAGTGGGGGTACTTCATATCTACATGCAAGGGTGCAAATGATGATGACACGTTCATCAATGACACAGTCAGCCCTGTGTACTGTGTGCACTGGTCATGAACACAGGACTTCTATCTAAAGATCAGAGGAAGGTGGGAGACAGTGGTACAGGCACATAGGACGTCTATCAGTGTATAGGCACAGAGGGCTTCTGTGTAAAGATCAGAGGAGAGGTGGGAGACAGTTGTACAGGAATACAGAAGTGACTCCTCACTTGTGGAGCCCGTGCCTTCAATCTACCAGTAGGCTCAGACTTGAAATGATGACTAAAGAGCTTACCATATGGTTCGCCTGACAGTTGAATCCATGCAGGCTGAAGCGCATCGGTGACAGCAGAGGGAAATAGCTCTTCTATTATTTGCTGCCAGAAAACATTCAAAGAGAGAAGAAAGCTTGTATCTCTCTTCTGACGCTCAGCTTACCAAAGGGAGAAATGGCTATGAGTTTGTGGGTGGAAAGGACACACCTTTGGTTAACTGGATGAGGTGAGTGCAGTCAGTCTGCAGTTTGTAGATGACGTTCCTCCCTCAAGCCCACACCCCTTTCCTTCTTAATCCATCTCCCTCACTAGCTTTCACATCTTCTTTCCTCTTTTCCCTCCATTTCATGCTCTTTATAATTTCAAAATACATTAGAAAGAAAAATACAGCTTGTGCTCTCAAAATACATCTATATTCTCAACAACACTGAGGTACTTGAAAACAACTTGAGGAGTTTAGATTCACCAGGGATACTTTAACTCACTTAATTGACACTTACCAAGCACTCTATGTCCCAGTTTAGACAGTGAACTTCATTACTGAAGCAGATCACACAACCCATGTCCTTTTGGAGAGCATACTGCAGACAGACTTTAACCAATCGGTTTTAGGGATAGTAACTTTAATTTTTATATTTTTTTAATAACTCCACCGCACCAGAGTAATGTAACATGGGAGATGTTGAGTCCATGTGGACAACAACCTCTCCAGGCTCTGTTCCAGTGAGAAGTGGGCCCTGAGGCCTGGGAAGGAATAGGGGAGGGCAAGATGGCCATGAGCATGGCCATTTTCTGAGGGCCTCTCCTTTGATCAGGGCAGGCAGAAAGTGAACAAACTCTTACTGTTGTGTGTCTCAAACTATGTCAGAGCACTCTCCAAGTTTCCATGGGAGGGAGTGGGCAAGTGAATAGGACTCTGTATACATGTGGGGAGATTGGAGAAAAGCCTCGGGAAAGAAGGCAGGCTGGGCTGAGTGCTGAGTGGCGCTTGCTAGCTTAGGAGCACCAAGTCCTGTGGAATGAAAGAGAATTTAGTTTAGAGTTTAGAGGAGCTGGAGATCACCAGTCTTATGTACAGTCCAGGTGGAGACAAGTCTGGAACTGGGCCCTGGACAATGGCTAATTAGGTAAGGAGAGAAGAGCATTCCAACCAGGAAGAGGACCAGAAACAGTATCTGGAAATAGGAATTCACATGGCCTGGTTGAAGGTGTGAACAGAAGGTCCCTGTGAGGGGTGGTGGGAGCCATGGTGGCCTCAGAGTCTGAAGGCAAGGAGCTGGGCATGGTCTGACAGTGGAGGGGACTCGTCACCTGTGGTTTCTTTCCCTTTCCTGGCCTATACCCCAGGTATGTGAACTGTGCCTGGGACGACGAGAGGAGCAGAACCTGATGGCCTTGCAGTATGGCAGGTCTTCTACCAAATCTGCCAGGTGGTCAGGCCGGGCTGTGAACTTCAGGTCTGATGTGCAGACGAGTGTGGCAAGGAACTTGGCATCAAGCAGGACATCAGGGAAAAGAGCAAGCTCGTGGCTGGGAAAGGTGAGTGCCACCTCTCTTCCGGTGTCCCCACCACGTCCCGGGGAGCCTCCTTGGTCCAATTCTGAAGCAGGGTACAATCCAGTCTAGAGTCAGTCAGGTTGCAACTAAAATGCCTCAGAATTTGCTTTATTTCATATGACTGTTAGGAAAATGTTTATATTAAAAATGGTAGTTCTGATGTTCAATATTTCATGCAAAAAATATGTAATACCCTTTCTGCTGAAAGGCGTATAAGTGAAAAGCAAGTTTTCTAGCACATACCAGCCCTCTCACCTTTACCTGTTTCTTCCTCATTTCCTACACATATCTGAGTGACATGTGTACAGTGATTTGCATTCAGTTACTGTTTCAGTTTGTTGTCAAGTGAGTTCATACTCTGTGCCAGACAGGGCTCCATGCACTGAAACAGACAGAACCACTGCCTTGGGGCAGCATTGGCTTCATACCAGACAGGGGCTGGTGCTCTGAGGAAAACCAGTGCAGGAAAAGTGCCTTGGGTCAGTATGAGCAGAGGGTGGGGTGTGGTGGAGGATGGTGGGGGCAGGGTCTCTCCAGAGATGACACTTCTGGGTAAGGATTCCCGGCAGGGGAGCAACCAGTGCTGTAGCCCCAGGGCCGGGAAAAGAAGTCATGCGAGTGATTGCAGGAGCAAGCACAGAGAGAGAAGGAGGAGGCTGGATGTAACACCAAAGCCTCGGCATCCATGTCCATGTGCAGGCCCCCAGGGGTGTTCCTGGAGACACAGAGCAACTGTGCAGCTTTCAGCTGCAAGTGGCATGGTATCTGTGCTAAGACAATGCTGCAGCTTATTTTTGGGAAGAGACAGCAGCAGGGAATACCCTCAGAAGTCAGTTCCTTGCCAGATATGAGGGAAGAGTGGGCTGACTGAAGATGCATGGGAGTGACGGTGTGAGGAGTCTGGTTGGAGATGTATTTTTAACCAGGGCTTCCTAGTGCATGTTAAATGGACTAAAACTGAGTGAAATAAATGAGGTGTGAGTACTGGTGAGGCTTAAGAAAGGACACATCTTTATTTTATGATTTATGGAAAACAGAGAGAGGAGCAAATTATGAAACAGTTGGGGTAGCAGGAGCCAGAGACCTGTAGTCAGTGGGACCTGGGCCTCTTGGTCTCATCCAGTCTGAAACCCACTTCCTGCAGAGATCAACACAAAGACTACTCTTTGAACAAGGAGTTCAGTTTTCAGCACCCCCTGTGCTGCCTCCCATATGCAGTGAGCTCCAGGCCAGGCACTCCTAACTTAACAGACTCTTTCCCCTCAGAGGGAGCCATTCAGGGAGATTCCACCTAAGTCACCAAGAGTCTTATCTCTCAGTAGGGTAAAATACCTGTGGACACTGTGACATCACTTTTCAGATACACACAGGGAAAGGTCCCTGCAGATCCACCTCTATCAGGAGAGACACTGGCTCTGATGCTACTGCAAGGTCCCTAGTCTGGGTAATATGTAGAAAAGGCCCTTAACACAGGCTTCCTGGATTTCTGTAGTTGTAGAGAATAAAAATGGAATGGAAAAGAGGACTGTAAAGGCACACTTGATGGGAGACAAATTGTGCAGTGTCAACACTAAGATGATTAGTGGGGCAGGCAGTACCATGGAAAACCAGCTACCTGACTAAAAGATTCCTCTTTCACCAGAACCAAAGCCCAAGATGTACCCTGTGTATCCTGCTCTCTGGCCTTCTCCAGTAAAAAAATTCCCCTCAGATCCTCCTGAGACCATCTGCAAGAGACCAACTCCGACCAGAGGATCCCTGCCCAGGCAATCAAAATGAGCAGCCGTGATATTCTGATCCACATAGCCTGAGTGACAAACGAGCATCGAGAGGGCAAGAAAAGGCCCTATCCTTTGCTGAAAGGCCCCACATTTTGCATAACGCTGAAGAGGATTTCAATGGCCTCTTCTTACTCAACCAAAGGACAAATGGGGGCTTCTGAGGTGCATGATGATATAAGAGCCCAGCAGAAGCCAGAAACTGAATGCAGAAGAAACAGGCAAGTTATCCACGGGGGCAGGAGTCTCAGGGATTATGAGAGTCAAGTATGGAGAGTGTGGGCAAGGCTCCAAGGATAGGTCAAGTCTCATCACACACCAGAGGACACACACATGGGAGAAGCCCTATGTTTGCATGGAGTGTGGACAAAGCTTCAGTCAGAAGTCCCATCTCGTCAGACAACAGAAGACACACAGGGGAGTAGCCCTATGTTTGTGGAGACTGTGGGCACAGTTTCAGTCAAGTCAGATGTCATCACACACGAGAGGACACATGCTGGGGAGAAACCCTATCTTTGAGGAGAGTGTGGGTGAAGCTTCCATTAGAAGTCAGTTCGCAGAGACCAGAGGACACACAGGGGAGAAGCCCTGTTTGTGGGGGCTGTGGGTGAAACTTCACTGTGAGGTCCAATCTCATCAGACTCCAGAAGAGATACACCGAGGAGATGCCCCATGTCTGTGGGGAGTGTGGGAAATGTTTCAGGCAGAAGTCCCATCTCATCAGACAACAGAAGACACACACACAGCGGAGAAGCCCTATGTTTGTGGAGCGTGAGGGCAAAGTTTCAGTGAGAAATCAGGTGTCATCACACACCAGAGTACACACAGAGGGGAGAAACCCTGTTTTTGCAGGGACTGTGGGTGAAGTTTCAGTTAGAAGTCAGTTTCATTAGAGACCAGAGGACACAGGGGAGAAGCCCCATTTGTGGGGGGTGTGGGTGCAGCATCAGTGTGTGGTCCAATCTCATCAGACTCCAGAAGACACACAACGGGGGCTAGCCCCATTCCATGGGGAGTGTGGGCATAGTTTCAGTCAGAAGTGCTTTCTCAGCAGACAATAGAAGACAAACAGCGGAGAAGACCTGTGTTTGTGGAGAGTGTCGGCAGAGTTTCAGTGAGAAGTCCCATCTCATCAGACAACAGAAGACAGACACAGGGGAGAAGCCCTGTTTGTGGAGTGTGGGCAAAGTTTCCGTGAGAAGTCAATTGTCATCTCACACCAGAGGACACACACTGGGGAGAAAACTTATGTTCGCAGGGAGTGGGGGTGAAGCTTCAGTTAGAAGTCAGTTATTTAGAGACCAGAGGACACACTGGGAAGAAGGCCTGTTTGTGGGTGGTGTGGGTGAAGCTTCAATGTGTGGTCCAATCTCATCAGGCTCCAGAAGACACACACAGGGGAGAAGCCCCCTGTCTATGGGGAGTGTGGGCAAAGTTTCAGAAGTCCTATCTCAGCAGACAACAGAAGACAAACAGGGGAGAGGACCTATGTTTGTGGGGAGTGTGGGCAAAGTTTCAGTGAGAAATCAGGTGTCATCACACACCAGAGTACACACGGAGGGGAGAAACCCTGTTTTTGCAGGGACTGTGGGTGAAGCTTCAGTTAGAAGTCAGTTCTCATTAGAGACCAGAGGACACAGAGGGAGAAGCTCTGTTTGTGGGGCGTGTGGGTGAAGCTTCAGTGTATGGTCCAATCTCATCAGACTCCAGAAGGCACACAGGGGAGAAGCCCCATGTCTACAGGGAGTGTGGGCAGTGTTTCAGTCAGAAGTCCCATCTCATCAGACAACAGAAGAAAAACGGGAGAAGGCCTATGTTTGTGGAGAGTGGGGAAAGTTGCAGTCAGAAGTCAGTGGTCATTACACACCAGAGGACACACACAGGGGAGAAGCCCTATGTTTGTGGAGTGTGATCAAAGTTTCAGTGAGAAGTCAGTTGTCATCTCACACCAGAGGACACACACTGGGGAGAAACCTTATGTGTGTAGGGAGTGAGGGTGAAGCTTCAGTTAGAAGTCAGTTCTCATTAGAGACCAGAGGACACACTGGGTAGAAGGCCTGTTTGTGGGTTGTGTGCGTGAAGCTTTAGTGTGAGGTCCAATGTCATCAGAATCCAGAAGACACACACAGGAGAAGCCCAGTGTTAGTTGGGAGTGTGGGCAGGTTCAGGCAGAAGTCCAATCTCATCAGACAACAGAAGAAAAACGGGGGAGAAAGCCTATGTTTGCGGAGAGTGTGGGGAAAGTTTCAGTCAGAAGTCAGTTGTCATCACACACCAGAGAACACACACAGGGGAGAAGCCCTGTGTTTGTTTAGAGTGTGGGCGAACGTTCAGTCAGAAGGCAGGTGTCCTTAACACACCAGAGGACAGACAGAGGGTAGAAACCCTCTGTTTGCAGGGAGTGTGGGTGAAGCTTCAGTTAGAAGTCAGTTTTCATTAGATACCAGCAGACACACGGGAGAAGCCCCATGTTTGTGGGGAGTGTGAGGAAAGTTTCAGTGAGAAGTCCCATCTCATCAGACAACAGAAGGCACAGGAGAAGCCCTATGTTTGTTGGGTGTTTGGGTGAAGCTTCAGTGTGTGGTCCAATGTCGTCAGACTCCAGAAGACACATACAAGGGAGAAGCCCCATGTCTGTGGGGAGTGTGGGTGAAGTTTCAGTCAGAAGTCCTATCTCAGCAGACAACAGAAGACAAGGGAAAAGCCCTATGTTTGTGGAGAGTGTGGGCAAACTTCTATCAGAAATCCCTTTAAGCAGAGAAGAGAAGACACACACAGGGGAGAAGTCCTACATTTGTGGGGAGTGTAGGCAAAGTTTCATTCAGAAGTCCCATCTAATCAGGCAAGAGAAAACACACACGGGGGAGAAGCCCTATGTTTGTGGAGAGTGTGGGCAAAGTTTTAGTTAGAAGTTCCATTTCCACAGGGGAGAAGCTCTATGTCTGTGGAGAGTATGGGCGAAGTTTCAGTCAGAAGTCCCATCTAAGCAGACAAGAGAAGATACACACAAGGGAGAATACTATGTTCATGGAGACTTGAGGGCAAAGTTGCAGTGAGAAGTCAGGTGTCATCACACAGCAGATGACACACTGGGGAGAAAGCCTCTGTTTGCAGGGAGTGTGGGTGAAGCTTCCATTAGAAGTCAGTTCTCAGAGACCAGAGGACACACCGGGGAATAGGCGTGATAGTGGGGAGTGTGGGTGAAGCTTCAGTGTGAGGTCCAATCTCATCAAACTCCAGAAGACACACACAGGGGAGAAGCCCCAAGTTTGAAGTGTGAGCAACGTTTCAGTCAGAAGTCACTTGTCATCACACACCAGAGGACAGACACCAGGGAGAAACCCTATGTTTGCAGGGAGTGTGGGTGATGCTTCAGTTTGAAGTCAGATCTCATTTCAGATCGCAGGAAACAGCAGAGAAGCCCTGTTTGTGGAGGGTGTGGGCAAAGTTTCAGTTAGAAGTCCCATGTCATCAGACTAGAAGACACAGGGGAGATGCCCTATGTTTCTGGAGAGTATAGGCGAAGGTTCAGTCAGAAGTCTCATCTAACCAGACAAGAAAGGACACACACACGGGAGAAGACCTATGTATGTGAACAGTGGGCCAAGTTTCAGTTTGAAGTCAGGTGTCATCACACACCGGGGAGAAACCCTATGTTTGCAGGGAGTGTGGATGAAGATTCATTTAGAAGTCTATTCTGAGGGACCAGAGGACACACAAGGGAGAAGCCGTGTGTGTGGGGGGGTGTTGCTGTAGCCTCAGTGTGAGGTCCAATCTCATCAGGGTCCAGAAGACACACAGAGTGGTTAAGCCCCATGTTTGTGTGGAGTGTGGGCAAAGTTTCAGTTAGAAGTCAGGTGTCATCATACACCAGAGGACACACAACGAGGAGAAACCCTATGTTTGCAGGCAGTGTGGGTGAAGCTTCAGTTAGAAGTCAGTTCTCATTAGAGACCAGAGGACACAGAGCGGAAAAGCCCAGTTTGTGGTGGGTTTGGGTGAAGCTTCAGTGTGAGGTCCCATCTTCTCAGACTCCAGAAGACTCACACACGGGAGAAGCCCCATGTTTGTGGGGAGTGTGGGCAAAATTTCAGGGAGAAGTCCTACCTCATCAGAAAAAAGTGCTGAAGGCCTATGTTTGTGGAGAGTGTGGCAAAGTTTCAGAGAAGTCAGGTGTCATCACACACCAGAGTACACACAGAGGGGAGAAACCCTGTGTTTGCAGGGACTGTGGGTGAAGTCTCAGAAGTCAGTTTCATTAGAGATCAGGGGAAACACAGGGGAGAAGTCCCGTTTGTGTGGGGTGTGGGTGAAGATTCAATGTTTGGTCCAATCCTATCAGACTCCAGTAGACACACACAGGGGAGAAGCCCTGTATTTGTGTCGAGTGCTGGGAAAGTTTCAGAGAGAAGTCACATCTCATCAGACAAGAGAATACACAGGGGAGAAGTCCTATGTTTATGGAGAGTGTAAAGTTTCAGTGAGAAGCCAGGTGTCATCACACACCAGAATACACAGAGAGGGGAGAAACCCTGTTTTTGCAGGGAGTGTGGGTGAAGCCTCAGTTAAAAGTGAGTTTCATAGAGACCAGAGGACACACAGGGGAGAAGCCCCGTTTGTGTCGGGAGTGGGTGAAGCTTCAATGGGTGGTTCAATCTCATCAGGCTCCAGAAGACACACACAGGAGAGAAGCCCCATGTCTATGGGGAGTGTGGGCCAAGTTTCAGTCAGAAGTCCTATCTCAGCAGAGAAGAGAAGACACACACAGCGGAGAAGCCCTATGTTTGTGGGGAGTGTGGGCAAAGTTTCAGTCAGAAGTCCCATCTAAGCAGACAAGAGAAGACACACACAATGAAGAAGCCCTATGTTTGTTTAGAGTGCGGCAAAGTTTCAGTGAAAAGCCAGTTGTCATCTCACACTAGAGGACACACACCGGGGAGAAACCCTATGTTTGCAGGCAGTGTGGGTGAAGCTTCAGTTAAGAGTCAGTTCTGAGAGAACAAAAGACACAAGGGAGAAGCCCTGTTAGTGGTGGTTGTGGGTGAAGCTTCAGTGTGAGGTCCAATCTCATCATACTCCAGAATACAGAAACAGTGGAGCAGACCGATGTTTGTGGGATTGTGGGGAAAGTTTCAGTCAAAAGTCAGGTTTCATCACACACCAGAGGACACACACCGTGGAGAAACCCTATGTTTGCAGGGAGTGTGGGTGAAGCTTCAGTTAGAAGTCAATTCTGAGAGACCAGAGGATTCATAGGGGAGAAGCCTTGTTAGTGGGACGTGTGGGTGAAGCTTCAGTGTGAGGTCCAATTTCATCAGGCTCCAGAAGACACACACAGTGGAGAAGCACCGTGCTTATGTGGAGTGTGGGCAACATTTCAGTCAGAAGTCAGTTGTCATCAGACACCAGAGAGCACACACTGGGGAGAAACCCTATGTTTGCAGGGAGTGTGGTTGATGCTTCAGTTAGAAGTCAGTTCTCTTTACAGACCAGAGGAAACACACTGGAGAAGCCCTGTTTGTTGGGGGTGTGGGCAAACTTTCAGTCAGATGTCCCATCTCATTAGACAACAGAAGACAAACAGGGAGAAGACCTATGCTTGTGGAGAGTGTGGGCAAAGTTTCACTCAGAAGTCCCATCTAACTGGACAAGAGAAGATATATGCAGGCGAGAAGCCCCATGTTTGTGGGGAGTGTGGGCAGTTTCAGTCAGAAGTCCCATCTCATCAGACGACAGAAGACAGGTACAGGGAAGAAACCCTATGTTCGTGGAGAGTATGGGCAAAGTTTCAGTCAGAAGTCCCATCTAACGAGACAAGAAAGGACATACCGAGGGAAGAAGTCCTATATTTGTGGAGAGTGTTGGCAAAGTTTCAGTTCGAAGTCAGGTGTCATTAGACACCAGAGGACACACAGAGTGGAGAAACCCTATGTTTGCAGGGAGTGTGGTTAAGCTTCAGTTAGAAGTCAGTTCTCATTAGAGACCAGAGGTAACACAGGGGAGAAGCCCTGTTTGTGGTGGGTGTGGGCAAAGTTTCAGTTCGAAGTCCCATCTCATCAGACGACAAGACACAGGGAAGAAGCCCTATGTTTTGAAGAGTATGGGCGAAGTTTCAGTCAGAAGTCCCGTCTAACCAGACAAGAAAGGACACACACAGGGGAGAAGCCCTATGTTTGTGCACAGTGAGCCAAATTTCAATTAGAAGTCAGGTGTCATCGCACACACACACCAAAACCCCATGTTTGCAGGGAGTGTGGGTGAAAGTTCAGTTAGAAGTAATTTCTGAGAGACCAGAGGACACACAGGGGAGAAGCCGTGTTTGTGGCAGGTGTGGGTGAATCTTCAGTGTGAGGTCCAATCTCATCAGACTCCAGTAGACACACACAGGGGAGAAGGCCCATGTTTGTGGTGAATGTGGACAAAGTTTCAGTCAGAAGTCAGTTGTCATCACAAGCCAGAGGAGAAACACAGGGGAGAAGCCCTATGTTTGTGGAGAATGTGGGCGAAGTTTCAGTCATAAGTCAGGTGTCCTCACACACCAGAGGACACAGAGCGGGGAGAAACCCTATGTTTGCAGGTAGTGTGGGTGAAGCTTCTGTTAGAAGTTAGTTCTCATTAGAGACCAGAGGACACACAGGGACAAACCCTGTTTGTGGGGGATTCGGGTGAATCTTCAGTGTGAGGTCCAATCTCATCAAGCTCTAGAATACACACACAGGGGAGAAGACCCATGTTGCAGGGAGTGTGAGTGCCTCATGACCAGTAAATCACATCTTAGCCACAGAAGGCGTAAGACAGACATATGTCCTGTACGGGGGCCTCAGAGGTGGTGTATGACCCATTATGCTCCCCAAGAGTATGACAAGAGTCTTTCCAGATGGTCCAGTGGCTAAGCCTCCAATGCAGAGTCCTACGTCCAATACTAGATTGGGGAACTAGCTCTCACATGCTGCAGCTAAGACACAGTACAGCCAAATAAATAAATATATAAATGAATATTTTAAAGAAAGAGTGTGATAAACACAGAATTAAGTTATTAAATAGGCCTTCCACTTTCGTGACAGGAGAGGAGTATAATAAACAGCAGAAAGTTTTTTAAGTGTTCTGGAGATGTTCATGCCAAATGCCTCCATGGTTTTTTGTACTCCTAATAAATTTTGTCTCTAAACAAATCTGAGTCCAGGCTACATACTCACTTCCCCCTTGTTACTGACAGCAGTGGGGTCCAGTGTTAGCTGAATCCTTGGGAAGGATAATTCTGAAGCCAAATCAGGTTACTAGACAGTCAGTTACTCAGTCCAGGGAGAAGCATCTAGGGTTTGAGACATTCTCATCATGGAAGAGAATACCCTGGCCTCTTGGGAAGTGTGGCTTCTCCTCCTAATAGACATTGACCTTCCTTTGGCCTCCCTTGTTGCCCTCTTGTGTCCTCTGACTTCTGTAGCAACAAAGATGAAGTCCAGGTGTACGTGTGTGTGTGCACACGCACGCGTGTGTGTGCACGCACGTGTGTGCGCGTGCGCAGGTATGTGTGTATGCCTGGCTCAGTCTGGGGCATCTGGTCTCTGTCACTGTGTCTTTGCCGCTCCCTCAGGGTTATCACAGCATCTGTATTTCAGATTCAGCTACAGGAGTCCAGTTCTCAGCCCTGCCCTCAGCAGCTGTGTAACCAGGGCAAGATGCTCAACCTTTCTGCGTCTCTAGTCTCACCTGTGAGACTGTGGGAGTGTCAGCATTTTGTTCTTTTTCATAAGAATAGGCAGAATCTAGCAGAGGCTGGCTGAGAATGCAAGCTGTTCTTTGTGGGTTTTTTTTTTTTTTTTAATTTATTTTTTAATTGAAGGATAATTGCTTTACAGAAGTTTGTTTTCTGCATGTTCTTCAGATACCACACCTTCCATGTCTTCAGAGCTAGCCAAGGAAGGGGCTGTTCAGGCACTCAGCTGCCCTGATAAGGGGGTGTGAGGTTAGGGGTGCTAAGGGAAGGTGACCTCCCTTTCCACTACTGCAATTCCCGCTGAGCTGGGTAGCCCTAGAGCCACTCAACTGTCATTTGAGCTGACGGTTGTCCACAGTGCCGAGAACAGAGCCTGGAGCCGCGTGTGCAGGAAATCCCTGTCAGGCCCCAATCCCAACCCCCACATGGAGGGTCCTTGAAGTCCACACAGCAGCTTTTCTAATGCATGGGCCTTGTATCTGTGCCCATGTGCTCTGGTCAATGCTGTCACGACCTTGAAATTCTTAACTATGGAATGGTTCATCCTTACACTTGTCTTTCATGATTGAAGTCAGATAGACCATAGGGTGGACTGTGGGGAGAGCAGATGCACACAGCACGGGTCCCAGGAGTGACCAGGATGCACATGGGGGCAAGGAGGACACAAAGCCCTGCCCCCCAGGTGAGTGAAGGTAGTGACCGCACCAGGAAGCCATGCTAGCTTAGACCCAGAACTGAGCTCTGACACAGAGTGGAGGCAATGGCCTTCTTGATCACGCTGTGAATGACCTCTTCCCTTCCTGATCCTCCCAGGATGTGTTCAGGAGGTTGACGTCACCCAGTCACCAGAAGGGGAGAGTGAGCCACGTGGTGGGGCTGGGGGTGGAGGTGCAAACCCCACGACTGGGTGTGACGGCCCTCAGTACTCTCCCTGTTCCAGGCTTGTGAAGCGTCTCTATGTGAACCGTGTTAGTAATAAACAGCCATTATTATTTTCTCGTTTCTTTCATGTTTTCTTAAGGAACACGTTGGTCTGTGGCTTGGTTTCGTTATAGGAAGAGAAGCCAGGTAAACTCTGCATCTTCTGTGGCTTTACTAAGGGGCCATGGTAAGGAGAGTTATGATGATGCAGGCAGAGCGGCTTCAAGTGAAAAAAGTGGGGACCCAGGAACTTGCCTGGGCTTCTCACCTGCACCTGCCACGAGAGCTGAGCCTGGAATCCCCTGGAAGCCTGAGCATTTTTCAAAGCTTCTCCCTCCCAACCTCTCCATTCCCCGTCCCTCCCCTTGAAAAGCTGACTCTTGGGCCAGGCCACAATACCTCCAAATCCCCCTTCACCCACAGCCCCACGCCCTGAAGTAGGATAACCTGGATGGTGGCAGGGATGGTGTGTGACCCCAGAGCTTGGGGTCTCAGCTGACCTTGAGCAATGGGGCTGGTGCTTTACACAACCTCCCAACCCTGGGAGCTGCCAGCAGCCACAAGCCAAGATCTGAAGTGGCGTTGGGCGGGGAGGGGGGTGGGTGGAGTGGGAACGTGAGCTGTCCGAGGTCCCATCTTGTCCCCACGACTGCTGCCAGGCCTCACCTGACACTGTGACTGCCCTGCACAGGCACCAGGACAGCAGGAGTCACAGGGGCAGGAGAACCAGCTGCCTCCCTCACACCCTCCACTCTGACCACTGCAGTCCCACAGCTGTATCAGCCCCACCTGTGCATCACTCTTCTTGGCTGCCACGGCTCAGGGGCCCTGGGTGAGTAGGTGAGGGAAGAGCACCAGAGACCCAGCCTGTCTTCAGCCACCAGACCCATCTTTGTCGCCAGATTCATGAGCCCAACCAGCATCTGAAGCCTTTTGGAGAATGACACCACAGACGCTGACCTCAGAGCTCAGACTCCTGAAAATTTACTAAACAGGTTTTTAGTCTTTTTTTTTTTTTTAAGTAGAAGGTTGTCAGGAATCAGGCAGGGGAATGACTTACTTGATGGTACAGTGGTTAAGAATTGGCCTGCCAATGAAGGAGACATGGGTTCAATCCCTGATCTGGGAAGATCATACATGCCATGGAACAGTTAGGCTCTTGCACAACTACTGCAGCCCAAGTGCCTACA